TTGGCTGTTGTGATGACCTTAATGTGTACCCACTTTCATGATACTAAATAATGCAATTCTGGTGGTTGCAAATCTTCACTCTGTGACATTTTATTCCCTAAATCATGCCTTTCCTTTTAGACACAGTTATTCAAACAGACTCTTTATGCAATGCTGTTTGGGAGATACTGAACATATCCTGCCGTTAAAGCATCGCCATACAACACAGTGCCTTTGCAGCACAGACTTTGAAAACATCAAGGAGAGGAGAAAGCTCCTTGAGGAACTGAAGGAAAGAAGCAACAAAGTAATTCCGTTCATTCACCATAGCTGGAGAGCTGAGAGCTGAGACACTGCCCGATAAAGATGAAAGGGTCTGCCAAGAAAGGCCCCTCTGGTGACTCCAGATCAAGACACATGTCTGGAAAACCTCTGGAACCACAAAAGCAACCCCATTCTGAAATGGTGAGCAATGATTGGTGAGTGTTTTCCTTACTTTTAACTCTCAGAGATGTGCAGAGTGTTCCAAATTGGAGAGCAGACTCCTGAACTGTAATCTATATAAGCTGTTTTGGGGGCAGTTATCTTTTTTTTTCAGGAATTGAAGACCATTAGTTGATAAAAACTGAACTTTTAGACCCCCTCACTGCAGCAGCTTTATAATACACAGAACTGTAATCCTACACATCACTTTCAGGATCTGGGTATATATTTGAAGATAAGATTAGCTCATGATTATATTACTGAGTAATTATGGAAATAAGAAAATAATCCCTTCAGCTTTTGTTGTAATGACTTCTGAGCATCTTGCATCATTGTAGGCAGACAGCAGCTTTCAGGATGCCATGCGTTATTGAAAGGAACTGAAAGGAATGTGGAAAATCTTGTTCTGTTTGGTGCCGATGTCTATAGTATGGGAAGACACTGCATATCTTCACAGTGAAATTGAATTGGAGAAAAAAACATGTGATCTTTTTTAAAAGAAATAGCTAATCTTCCCCTCTTGCAGTCCAGTGTTCTGAGCCAAGAGTAGAATGCATTCCTGACAACCACCCTTGATGAATCCGCTCACACTGTGGCTTTGAGGGATCTTCAATTTGTATCCCTTGGTTCTGAATGAAAAGATAATGCAGATTGGGCAGCACAGTGTAGGTAACTTCACTGGAATGTATTCCAGTGATCCTGATCCTGGAATATGATCCTGATATGTTATTATTTTACTGATGTGAGAAAAACTCCTGTAGTGATGAGCCTGGCTGAATGCATTCTTCTTTGGTCAGCAGCTGTGTGATGTGTGACTTGGACTCTAGCAGTAAGAAATTAATAGGAAGAATCTCAGATCACTGATGAAGTAGTCTAATCTCCTCATTGCACAAAAACTAGTGGAAATCAAAATGAAAACACACAAATGTTCTTCCCTAGGAATATACTCTGTATTTTTGCCTTTTCTTAGAGCCACTGCTGAGGGGAATCATTCAATAATGACAGTTTTCAAAAAAGTAGAATTATTCCTGAAGATACTTTACTTTCTACTTCCCTCTTTCTAATGAACTCCTTTTTAATATCAATAGAGTATTTGGAAGACCATTGCTAATAGTTTTCCAAACAGGATTTCATAAACAACTTAAATTGTGGCACACAAGAGTCAAGCATCCCTCTGTAGCTATGTTCCTTATTTATTCCTTGGAAGACTCCTGAATGTAACAGTAAAGACAAGAACATGAGGGATTTGGAGCAAGGAAGGCAGTTGTGGAACTATATAGTCTTCACGTCTCCAGAATAAGAATTTAATTTCATTTCAATCTCATGCAAGAATTATGACAAGGTTTCTTAGTAGAAACTCTTCTAGAAGACAGATTTGGGTAATGTTTGGTCCATCCATGCTGCCCTAGCCAGGAAGCAAAACTGCTATGGTGCACTTCGCAGTATTACGATACTGTTCATTGCCCTCATGACTGATGGGACTCATGACTCCAAGACTGCAAGAGGCCTCATCAAGGCTTCTGAGTTTCCTGAGGCTCATCACCTGTTCTTCTCCTCTGCTCTTTTACCCTTCCTGCATATACAATAACCTAGATCTAATGCTATTAAAAACCTGCATAGTGGATAGTAAGGCTTAACAAAAGTTCAATTGATCAATGCTTGTCTTGAGAAATCATAGATTTCTGCTGAATGCTTGCTGCTAGAACATCTTCCTGGAGATCATTCAAATGCTAGTGACATGCAAATGTATTAATATGCAGTCTATTCACTGTGCAAAAGCATCTCTGCACAGAGGTAATATTAATACATGACTGCATTGCAGCTATTCCAAGACACATTTAACCCTGGGCAATCAGAAAGGCTTTTGTTAGATGCTAACTGTTTTCCTCTATATCGGTGAGTATGGAGGAGATTTGCTAAGTAAAGCTAAGCAATATTGCTTTTATTTTTTTTATCATTACGGTCTCATCATATGGTGTGAAAGTGGGTGTCCCTGACCTGCCTTCTTCCTTCCTCACCACAGTTTGTACAGACCACACCCTTATCTCTCCATCATTGCACTGGTGATGGTTGCCCTCATGCAGTGCAGGTGCTGTCTGAACAGGTTACGCCACACAGCAGTGTTCATGGTTGTCAGCCATAAAGTGAGGGACCGGCCAGCACTGCTGGATTTTCAGACCCTTAGAGACTCAAGCTTCACTAAAGACTTTCTGTGGGGCTTTGACTTTTTTTTTTTTTTAATTTAATTCACATGTATACACACACACACACACACACTTGCACACCTTGTTTTTCTGGAGTGACCACAATGGGCCTCATTATCTTTTCCACCATCACCCACTCATACCTTCTCACATTCTCTGTAGCTGACACTACTCAAATTTTGTTTAGCTGAATCTTCTGAGGAGAACATTCAGTTTGTTTTCTAGGCTCTGTAGAAACTATAATACCTCTGAGAGGAATGGCATGTCTTTAGAGGTGTAGAGTGCCTTAACACTAGTATTGAGAGTCATTAGTAAGTAAAATACTCTTGCATTAACTGGTCCACAAGACATTGACCGCTCACACCAGTAACACAAATGCCTGCTGTATACTAGACAGAAATGTTACCTTGCCTTGGCTATAGAAGTCCCTCAGTGCTTCCTCTCAACACAGAATAGGTTGTCTTCTGAGTCTTTGTGGAAAAGGGATGTTGAGGGAAATTTTCTTCCTATTAGTAATGAAATGCTAAACTTTCTCAGTGTCCAGTCTCCCATTTAACCATGAGCAGCCAGAATCAGTGGAGTTATATGATGGACCACTGATAAAACTCATTGCCCTGTCTGAAAGCCAGAAGCAACTCAGTGCTCTGACACTCATTATTTACCATTTTCCCATGTTATATGCTGTATTTGGTCATGTTCAGTAACTCTGTAGTAATCAGACAAGATGGAACGGCAGCTTGTCAGCTGATTTAATTAAAACCACATTGCTTTTTTTTTTTTTTATTGCCTCTCACACATCATTAATATTCTGTCTAAGACGCGCCTGCAATCTAAAGATTGGAATCAGTCTCATTGTGCTCTTTCCAAGCTTGAATTCCCAGACACACAAACCTGGGAAAGAGTTTTAAAGGGACAGGTAATAGTTAGAAGCTAATTTGATTACATTGAAATGGACCCGTCATTGGTCCAAATAAATGCTTATTAAGGGACCAGTCTTTCAAGTTGCTTTTAAATGCAGTGCAGGATTTGCTTCCATGGATATGAGTGGGAATAGAATATATTTAGGATTTCCCAGGAGTCAGGTCTTTGCTCTGTAGCCTCCTGTTCATTCAAAGGCTTGGTTATGCAAATATATTAAAAAGACTTGAGTAAATAACACTGCGCCCTTTTTACTTTGGTTTATTATTTACATATTTAGCAACAGTGTTGCATCGTTCCCCTTCTGGAGTGCCAGGTTAAAATCCATTTCACAGTGACAGTGACAATGTATAAGCCAGCATATGCACTTGATTAACTGCCAAATTACCAGGAAAAAAAAATCTAGCATTTTAAATTAGATGTAGCAGTTTATTTAAACAGTGATTAGCTTTCATCAACAGTATGTGCATTTTTGTTTTCTTTAAGAAATCCTGCCAGTCTCAATCACAGCTGCAGCCCTCCTGAAGCACTGTGTTAGTGACTTGAACAGAGCTTTACAAATACTTTTGCAGTCAATTACCATATAGGTTTCTTGTGTTTTCAAATTCAGGCAATTGGAGTCAACAACCACTGCTGAATAAAGGTAGAGCCTTGAGAACATTTTGCATAATAGTCATCAGTGTAGCTGATAGCTATTACAGGGTTCTTGTGCAGTAAACCTACGCAGATACTATCTCTCTCGTCTGTCTGTTCCAACATGCATCTCATCGCATTTGCAATCCTTTTCTTTAATTAGCTGAAGCCTTCACTTCAGTCTTTCATATGTCAACCAGCCTGTGTACACTTCCATATTCTTAATCAGTAGCCTGTTGTCTTTACTTTGTCATTCGCACTAGCATATAAATCTGCCCTTCTTATGATCCTCACTGCTTGGTAGAAGTCAAAACATGCTGTTTAATTTTCCTGTTCACTGATTTCCATTTGTTTCATGTTCGAATGCTGGCTCTTTTCTCCCTGTTGGGCATGCTGTGAGCATTAAACTTAGCAATCAAATGCCAAAAAAGCAGTCCTTTTCCCTTTCCACCCACAAAGGGGTCATCCAAGCACCCTTGCTTGGATGCTTACCTTAATGGAGTGCTCTGTGCATTTGCAGTCTGTCTAAATGGAGTGGCAGCATTGAAATTCCACAGGCTGGCATAACTTATCTAACAAAGCAGGTGCAAAACTTATGTGCTCTCTTAGAGGTGTAACTGTGTAACTGGCTTTTTTCTTTTGCAGTTTCTTCTCATTTTTATTTAATCTACTACAGCAGAATAGTTCATTTCACCAACAACACATCTGATCCTGAGACAGCAAGGGTTAAAAATAACTCGACCTAAAAGGATGAGAGTGTGGCCTGTGGTTGTCCTCTTGCTTTTAATTTTTCTGGTTGCTGGGAGTGGAATCCAAGGCTGTCTGTAACTGTCTGACAGGTGGGGTGGCTGGCCCTGACATCTGTGTCCGTGGCTGATCCCCAAGCTGAACCTGGAGCGCATTAAGGATGTCATCTAGCTTCTGGTCCATCTGCATGACCTGTTAAGGAATTATAAAGCAGATGAGCAGTCAAGTGGTTGTGCATGCTTCTTGTGAAAGACATTAACTGGTGAAAAGTTTAGGAGATACAGGAGGGACAAACCTTTGCAGTTGGCATTGGCATCTTCAGGTCTTGAGCATCACAAGTCATTCAAGTTTTATCAGACCCTTTGCATTAGCTAGTGGCAAGGTCAAGGAGTACTGTGAAGTCACCAGGAAGGATGTAAAATAGTACTAAGTGACTCCAGAAGGACAGGAGATTGCTGGCCCCAGCACTGACCCTTGGAGTCAGCCATTTTGTCTCTCAACATTTTCCAGTGCTGCCAACTTCTCTCAGTGATGATGCATGCTGCAAACATCTGTTCCAAGACTCTGTTTCACTCTTTGTTTTATCATGAATATTTTTTCCCATTACCTCTCCCCAAACTTCACCACCCTCAGCTTTAGGACATCATGCTTTCCATTACTGTCTTGGGAAACTAAACAACTCCCCTCCCTTCACACTGTAAATAAATTCCTCTGTGATACATGTTATTGCCAGAGATCCTACCAGATATGATGTTTATTCCCATGCAATGATAGAAGGATGGCCTACTAAAAACCACATTGTTAACACCAATGACTTCATTAGAAAAGAACACCCTTTCTATAAGAACATTGACAGGCTAAACTCTTCTCATTTTGTTGCTTTAAGGGTGAAATTTCTCATGCATATTCTCTAGTCAGAGAAATACTTATTGTTATCGTTAGTTGCCATTATTACTATTACTATTTTTTTTTAAGAAGGATGCTAGGTATCTCATCTCTTCTACAATTTAAAAACAAATCCTAACTTCTGTCAAGGGAGACTAAGCAGACATTATTCCATTGTTGTAGCAGGGCTTTCACCCACTGCAAAATGGCATCTTGTTCAACACTGCGTCAGTCAGGAAGACGAGTTGCTGAGTGTTGACTGCTGTAGTCTGCTGTAAAGGCAAAAACGTGGGCAGCATCACGTAAGCAACTGGGATTGCTCATAATAATGCTTGAATACAGTGCCACTTTGTGTAATAGATGAGCTCAAGAAAAATGAGTATTTTTAAGAACATTGGATGGTTCACTTTTCAGTTATCTGCTGTGAAAGTCTGAGCCTCTGCAAACTCTGATCTGTCCCAGTGGGTCTAATAAACTTTGATAGCAAGCCTTTTAAAGTGATATCAGATCTAAACTGAGCTTTCACTAAAGAGAGAGAGACAAAGTGAGGGGTTCTAGCCTTTTTCTGTGCAAAGATAACTTTGGAAATAACCACTGGCAGCGTGGATTGAAAGTTTAGCAGGCTGAGATTGCTTCAAAAAGCAAGGAAAAAACGATCACCTTATCCACTTTTCCCTCCTCTACCTTCTCTTAATCCAAAAATCTGCTCTCCTAGGGGCCCTCAAATCTCAAGGTACGAGATGCTTATTCAAGCTATATCATTTTGGTTGCCATTGTTCTCTCTGAGATACAACCTTCTGCTGGCTGGGGAAAGGAGGAGTGAAGTACTTCTGCTTCATGAAGGGAAACACATGTGCTTGTCTCTCTTTCAAAATCTTTTCTCTCTTGAAAACAAGTTTTCAATTTTGTTTTCATTACTACTGTGTTCTAGTAGAAAAGTCCCTCTCCCTGGGTCTGATCAGTGTGGATGACCTAAGGGTGTGGGTTATCTTAGATAGTATTTTCAAGCAATAAAGAGGAATTATTTTTGGCATGGCTTAAACAGTGCAGCTCTCCACTATGGTTTCTGCCTATGTACTTTTGACTATGCATTCAGGATAGAGTGGACACTATGTGGTAACAAGGGCAGGGTGGGCAATATGTGCACATGTTGGAGAATCAGGGCCATTTCCTATAGCACTGGCTGTGACTGTGACCATCAATGCCTATCCTAGTGTATGAGGAGTCACAGTCTAAAAGCATCTCATATATAGGTATGTGTGTGTGTATTCACAGTCTTCAGTTCAGAACAACTCTGAACAGGCTGTCAGAGGTCTAGTCACCTCATAACCAGCGTTATCCCACACCAGTAGTGGCCCCCGGCTTTCTCTTGTTTAATGAGCTATGAAGATGAGCGTGGATGAGTCTGTCAGGGCAGGTCTTACTCTCTCTCTACTATGGCTATGGACAGAAAGCAGTCCTGTTCTCATTTCTTGGTCCTATGACAGTGAAAGGGCATGGAGACATTGCACCTGCCTCATTTTTCTCCCCCTTATTGCCATTTTCCCTTTTTCTACATTGCTCTGCTTCCCTGCTGATATCATCAAAGTTCTTCACTGAAGAGTGGAGCTTGACTTAAAGGAAAAAACAGAGCAATAATAATATTTTCCTCAACAGCTCTCTCTTCAAGGAGTGTGACACCACAGTGCTAGACACATGTGTAAGGTGTTTTCCAATGTATGGAGAAAAGCAGGGCAAATGCTTGTGCTGGTAAGCACTGACTTAGATGGAAAGCTGGAAGTCACTAGTAATTTAAGGGTTAAGTAGCATGGAACTAATTTAAAAACCACAGCCTTTGTTTTCTCCTCGGTTCTTGAAAAGCCTGTTTGGCTGATGCTGGTAATGACTCAACAGAATCTTTCTTCAGCAGAAACATTGTACAGAGCAGAAACTAAAGCAGAACTAATACATTAGAGTAAAAGAGGTGTAGGCAAGGAAATGGGGTCAGGCAGATGAAAGATCTCTTGGGGCTTTCTTTTGTGAGGCTTTGTTGATTTTGATTTGCAAGCTTGATCTTAGATAAGTTATGCCTATATATTCTATATCATTAAAACTTGCTGTATTTCTCTATATTTTGCCAGCTCAGTGAGAAAATATAATAGGGAATAATTTTATGCAGTTTCTTTCAAGGAGAGGAGAGGGGTGGAGAATGTAAATATTCATTTGTAGAGGAGAAAAAAGAAAAACAACACGTACACAAGAGAAGAAATGGGACATTCTGCACTTTGATCATGCCTTTCATGCAGAGATCTGCAAATGCTTCCCGAACATTAACAAATGAAGTTGCACAGTTCTTCTGTATCAGCTAGACACACACAAGCATTTTAATGTTCATTTTTGAGAACAGAAATAGGATCCTGCAAAATGAAGTTTGCATGGAGTGTTAGATCACTTCTAGTCCTTAGTTCTCTTTTGCATACAAGATCCAGACACACCATGCAAGTAATCCAGTAGACGTTCAGCTGGAGAGACATGTTCTTAAGTACCTTGTAAAATGGGAGCCTATATAAAAGTGGGTCAATTTTGAAGGCTAGTCAACCGCAATTAAAGGGTTACAAGGTTACAAAACAAGAGCTGTGGAAACGTAAAGGCTTGACTGAAGTCAGGAGGATGACTTGCAGGATTAAAGGACTTTTCACATTGGTAAAGGTTTTACAGAAGAAAGTCCTAATTTTATATTGTCATTTAAGCAACTACTACATTCCTTAAGTCTTTTTGCAAACAGGACAAGCTGTCAGTGTCAAATAACATACCCAGGCAAGCAAACGGGTAAAGGGTTAAATTTTGCAACGCATTTCTCAGCTGAGTAAAGTGAGAAGCCATCTGGGCCAGCCACAGAGTTTCCAGAGAGATGTGATATGCCCCTCGCAGGCTCCTTGGAGACAGGTGAGTTTGGCAGCTGTCCACAGGCAAATGGCAACAAAACTTCTGTTCTCCTGCATCACAAAAGAGCTCTAGAGGCAATCTATAAAATTGTTAAAATGCTTTCATATCCTTTCAACCACCCTGCAGAAAGGAGATGGCAAAAGCAGTTTAAAATATTACTCTGTTATTATTGGGACTATGAGGTGTGCCGAAGGAGTGTTGAAATGTATATTCATTATAACATCCCCCATAGAAAGGGGCTGGATCCCATGGTGACATGCAGAGCTGTTACACAAAGAAAATGGCTCTGTGAGTCACAGCAAGCCATGAAGGGGACCTGGGTCAGGCAAACAGTGGGACGCAGCCTGCCCTTGCTCTTAACCATGAGCACCAGCTTTGCTTTCAGTATTTGTTATTTGTGGTTGCTTTTAAACCTGTATTTGTTAAAAGCTGGTGCCCAGCCCCTTATTTAAATACCTCGTTTTAACTCAGTGTGTTCCTGTTGCAAAAACCTCTTGTGGAGAAGGGGACTCAAAGAATGGCAGAAGCAGAGAGGCCTGGATCATCTTATGGATTTGCAACCGGCTGGCAGATTTCCAACTCCCCCCAAGAGCTTTTTGATATGTTTTCGTAGGCACACTCTATAAACAAAATGCATGTGTAGAAAGCTCAGTTGGCATAACCACACGATCTCTCCCGAACCCTCTAATTTTAAACTAGACAACCCTCTCCCCCCAGGTTATGTCTTTCTTTTTAGTGTTATTTCTGGAGGTTTGGAAAGACAGAATCAACTATGTGCACAAGACCCTGACTTGAATTGTTTCCAAAGGAGTAGCAGAAGGAAAGATGGTCTGAAGCAAGTCTGTAAGTAAATCCATGAATATGCTCATCTGTTGCTAAGTAGGTAGAGCTTTGTATCAAAAACTAGACCCTTTAAATCAAATAAAGTTGCTGTCCCCTTCTTGAGACTGGGCTCTTCTCCTGTCTTTGCAGGTTCTGCATGAACAATCCAAACGTACAACCTTCATGCAGTTGTCTGAGCTGTACAGCCTTCACAAAGTTGTCTGTCACATGTCTAGAGTCCTGCAAACTTCATCCTTCAGCAAACTGAAGACCTGAGGACAGATGGCCAAGAGACACCAAAGCACAACAGGTATCAGGAGGAAAAAAGATGATTCCAAGTTCTTTGCAAGGTGTTACATGGAGCTGGCACAACATCTGCAAGGCCAGAGCTGCCTTAGTGTGCTGTCCCAGCACATGTGAACACAACATCCCAATCCCAGTTTTCCTTCAGCACTGGGAACTCAAACCCAGTCCCCCAATCACTACTACTCTAGCCCACCTCTTAGATCACAGACTTACAACATCCGAGACATAAGATATTACCATTTCCTTAATTTCCA